GGGGGGGGGGGGGGGGGGGGGGGGGGGGGGGGGGGGGAATCAGAGGCAACATCTTCTTCATTTCATCTTCCCGATGGACGGCAAGGCGACGTCTGTTTGGTGAAGCTCCTGGCGGATCCAGCACAGGTGGCCGCAGGGGCTGGGTTAGGTGTTGAATCCGCCCTTGACAACAAGGACCATCACAAGGCCCTCAACAAGTTTAGGTCGAGTCTTTGATAAACAAAAATAGATTTGAATGCTATAGGGTAGACAAACATAGTATTAATTAACCGTGATATTAAGGATTTATTTTTGTTAGTTTCTAAAATTATTGCATTCTATTTTTTATTAGTTTTGTTTTATTTTGATATTTTTTTTTCAAAATTAGCTCATTATGCCCACAAGCTGGATAGTCAATATTCAATCATCGGTTTCGTCCAATTTCAGAGTGAAGAATTAGTTATCGCATTAGCGTGGAAAAGGAAAAAGTTCCATCTCCCTACTTCAAAGCTTTATTGCTTACTTTGAGTACAATATATGTGATGCTACCAAAAATCGTATTTGTTGATTTTCGAGCTTGAGGATTGAGGACGATCACGAACAAAATCTTCGACACTTGAGTAAGAGGACAAAGGTAAAAATCCGAGGTAACGTGGAATCGTCACATGCAGCAATTAAGCCCAACGAGGACACCTGCGAAAAACTTCCAAGATGACTGGAAACAACCTCGGGCATTGTTGTTCGGGGTTAATACAAAAATGATACATCAATATGAAATTTTGAGTTTTCTCAATTACTTGTCTGCTAAATTATTTTCTAATCTCAAATCTCAAAATTTCATTCTCCTGCAAATTCTGGTATGATTTTGACTTTGTGGGGCCTAACATTGTTCATGCCATGAGCTCATAGGAATTCTGGGAATATGCATATCAACTATATGCAACTATGTCCAAAAGATGCTAATATATCCATACATACTCCCGAGGCTCTTTTCGAAATATTGTCTAGATTGATATGTCTTTTACATAGATCGAGGTTTACTTGAAAGGAATTTCTCTACCTTAGTGAACTGGCAGAACAAGGAAAGTATGGAAGAGAACATTCATATTCAATTAGCTTTTGAATTATTGCAATAAAAAAGGAATCCAACAATTCAAAAGATTGGAATTTGTCAATGGATAGGAATTGATTCCAAAATTTCTCCAGTTTTGTGTATTTACACCTGACCTACTTGTGCCTGAACCACATAAGCCTATACACAGCATTTTACAGATATTTGCAGGTTCTGTGGACTCTACGTAAGCATGCCATACTCCGAGAGCCATCCACTTAAATAAACAAAGTAGTTTAACATGGTACTAAAGCAATCAAAACTCTTATTTCTGTTTCTGGACCGATCCTTTGTTTTGCGCCAATACTGTTGTCAAACTGGTACTTGACGGTTCACGAGTAACAAATAGACTAAAGTAGCCTATCGCTTCCTCATTCTTTATGGAAAAAAACTCATAAAATCAAATTGGAATTCACTTGTTCCTTGATGCCACATTTATGAAAAATATCCACATACCATACATTTTTCAAGTAATGAGGGGTGCGTGCGAGCGTTTTATGCTAACTTAGGATATATTATTAAAAAATGTTTCATAGAGTCTTTAAGTTCGATTTTACACTATCCATTTGTAAAAAATTGTACGCATGACAGGCCTTAGATGAATGCAAGGATGAGTATTAATTTAGAGCATGTTTGAATCCCATTTTTTTTTTCTTAAATGGGTATTTTGGAATAATAGATTGACAGAGAAAGTGAGATTGAAAAATAAGGAAAAGTTCTAGATTTAAGTGTAATATTATTTTATTTTAAAAAAAAGAATAAAAAATGTATTTTAAAAATAATGGAAATGAAACAAGTGATTAAGAACTTTGTAGCCATCCCATATATTGACCCAAAAGAAAGTAAAGTAGATATTTAAGAATTCAGAAATTGAAATCCCACGTGGTGGAATTCTAATAAGATGTAAAAGAAAGTTTAGAACACCCACCCCCCCCCCCCAACCCAACAAGTATATAAGCCACCCTTGCTCATTCACCAAAATTACCTACTCAAACAATCTCTCGTCTTCTACCATTGCTTGCAACCTTTTGGTTTTTGTTCTTTCATACTTCTTGAGGTGAGAAAATATGCGTCTTTGTTCTTCTAAACTAAAGAATTTCTTACAAATAGTTTTCCCCTCTTCTAGTGGTTGAATTTTCTGCACGGAAAAGTTTTAAGTTGTTGAGACGAAACAAAATATTTTTTTAATTTTCAACACTCCTTTGCACTTAGATGCCAAATTCTTGTTTACCAAAGGCTCAAAGGCATGATACATGGACAATTTTCATAAATGAGTAGTGTCAAGACTTCAACCACTATGTTTGTTGTCTCTCATAGACTTGTACCAATCTCGCGGATAACTAATTCTGAAAATTGTGACATTAAATTCTGCCTTTGAATGAGGGGAGTTTTTTGCTTTTAACGGTTAATTAGGTTTCTATATAACTTGCAGATAACAATATAGAGAATGAGCAGGGAAGGAGACTGGATATGCTCTGCATGCAATCACTTCAACTTCAGGAAGCGCAATTCGTGCCAGCGATGTACCTGTCCCAAAGATGCTACGGAAGCTGATTTATCGTCGTATGGACTGCACAAATCAGAAGTTTTGCCCGGAGACTGGTACTGTGGCAGTTCGAATTGTGGTGCACACAACTATGCTAACCGAACAAGCTGCCATCGATGTGGCGCATCCAAAGATTTTTGAGGATATGGCGCTGCATTAATGATCACATCTGCTAGTTATGCACAAGACCCCAGTGTGCTTCCTGGTTGGAAAACTGGTGACTGGATTTGCAACAGGTTAGTTCACACGACGTTGAACCTTTAAACTGCTTCATTAATTTATTCATGCTCGGTCCAAGTCTGAAGTACCATTTATACAAATAAGAATCCCTTTCGTTGGAAGGACTCGAATGCATTATTTCTTTGAATAACACTATAAACAAAGACTGTCATGTTGATTGTTAGGAAGAATATAAAAGAAATTAGAAATTCTGTTGGAATTATAAGATAATGGAAATAAATATTACAATAGACATAGTAACAACAAAAAAGAGTAAATTTGGTTGTTGATGTACGAGCAGTATTTCAAGGAATCGAGACCAGTGTTGCATTCGATTTCCTTAAAACAGGTTTGCTCCCACTATAGTGCAAAAGGATGTATGACGTCTGACTGTTTCTCGGAATACAACGGTTCAACCGAGCTAGAACAAAACTTTCTAAACTACTATGAACAAAATTGTTGTTGTTAACTATTCAATTGAAAATTAACTAGAAATTTTGAAATCTTCTCATAATTTATTCCAATTCAATGAAAGTTTAACTAGAGAATTTGAAATCAAAATTGTTGTTTCATATCATTCACCGTTGAACTTATTTTTTTCAACATTGATTTCATTTATTTAATTAGAATATATTTGGCCATGGACAGATGTGGCTTGCACAATTATGCTAGCAGGGTGGAGTGCTTCAAATGCAACTCACCTAGGGATTTTGGTAAGCCACATATATAATTTTTTTCGATATATGTATTTTCTTTCGTATTTTTTATTTTCACTATATAAATTGCTCTCATAAGAGTGGGAACTCAATGCTTTTAGTTTCGTTTTCAGGAGGAGCAATGTGCGGAAGCTGAGCGAAGTGCAGTTTTGGCACTGAAGAATAAATGCCTCTTCTTTTCAATTAGATTGTCTAAAAGAATATTTCGCATTGTTGTATCGCAATATCATCAGAATAATTACGCCTCTTTGCGAACCATTTTTCGTGTTTTTTTGTTAGTAAGTCAAAGTCAGAAATTAAATTTAATTACATATTTTATGGGATCAACACCTTTTTAATTACACATTTAATTAATTTTTATTAAAACAACTAAAAATCTTATTTTAATTTTCACCAAATAATATGAGCTTATATATATATATGGAAAGTTACAATTCGCACCATGGAAAAATGAAACAAAAAAAGGGGCTCTACTCTTCCAGACAAGGATGAACTCTCAAATAAATGTTGAGTTGAACGGAATTCTCCAAGGAGATAATGGATGATTGGATATCTTTACTCTGTTCGTTGGATCTCTAGGAATTCTTATTGTAAGGCCCAGACTACACACGATATGAGAATCAAGATGAACAATAACCAAAATGTATAGAACATAAACTATAGAAAGTAAAATGAACACAAGAATTATTTTCGGCCGTAGCCCCTGAGGTTCGGTGACCGCTTCTTACACCTACATCGCCCATTGAGCATCCAAGGAAAGGATTATGCTCAGTTGCACTAAAACAACCACAAAATGGCAATGCAGATTACAAATGGAGAGAGAAGAGATATGAGACTTATCTCTCAATATTAAAGCAATAGATATACCCAAATTCACCAAGAATCACCAAGTAACCCTTTGAAATACACACTAAGTAACACAATAGAGAAATCACTCAAATCATCACAATATTCACACAGAATATTACAATTGAAGGTTGATCTATCTCTTACAACTCTTTAAATCAGAGATTTAAAGTAATACAAACAAGAATAATCAAACCCTAGCCTCTTCTCTCTTTTTCTCTCCACTCACAGAAACCCTCGAAGTCTCCAGAAGAGTGAATGAATCGTGTGGAGTCCAAACGCCTTCAGCCCAAGTATATAGGTCATCCTCCATCCAACGGCCATGAGTGAACCACGTGTCAACCATCATATCAAGGACGCTTCAAATAAAAGAAGTGTGTTTTGTAAACACGTTTATAGCCAAAAACTGGGAGCACCAAGTTAACTAGGTTCAACTCCAATACTCTCCACCTTGCTACCAGATTTTGGGCTGTTAGTGCATCCAGGAGCATAAACACTGGTCCTTTTCATTTGCTCTAAGTACCCATATCAAGATGACAAAGAATCAATATAAAGGAATTTAAGACAGTTTAAAAATTTGTTAAAATGGATCATTTTAGTACCCATATCAGATGGATTATGCTGAGTTGCAATCTTTTCAACTTTTATTATTCCCTTATAAATTACATCTCTAATGAAGTGGTATTTAACATCAATGTACTTGGTTCTATCATGAAACATGGGATTTTTACTAAGATGAATAACGCTTTGATTGTCAAAGAACATAACAGTTTTAGTATCAACAAAGTCAAGTTTAGATAGTAAACCAGTCAACCACATTCCTTCTTTAATTGCATCAGTTGTAGATATGTATTCAGCTTCAATAGATGATAATACAACAATCTTTTGTAATTGAAATTTCCAACTAATAACAGTATCAAATAAGGCATAAAAATAAGATGAGGTTGATTTCTTATTATCTCTATTACTAGCAAAATCTGAATCAATATATCGCTTTAACATAACACCATCTTTATTTGATTTAAACACTAAGCTTAAATCAATAGTACCCTTTAAGTACCTTAATAATCATTTTAAAGCATTCCAGTGATATTTTCTAGGATTACTCATAAATCTGCTTAATATACTAATGCTATAAGCAAGATCAGGCCTATTACAAATCATTAAGTACATAATAGAGCCTATTACATTAGCATAAGGAATCCTAGACATTGGAGCATATTCTTCTTTAGTTTTAGGATAGCATTCAGAGGACAATTTGTAATGATTTGCAAGAGGTAAACTCACAAGTTTACAGTCATACATATCAAACTTTTTCAACACTTTAACCACATAATCATGTTGGTTTAAAAATGGCAAATCTTTTTCTTTATTTCTAACAATATGCATACTCGGAATTTTCTTAGCTGCACTAAGGTCTTTCATGTCAAACTTAGTTTTTAACTTTAGTTTAATAGTTTCAATTTCACCTTTATCACAGCTAGCAAGAAGCATGGCATTCACATAAAGGACCAGATATAAGGAATTTTTACCTCCATTACATTTGCAGTATGAGCAAGTATCATATTGGCTTCTTTTGAAGCCAAGTTTTACACAAAAGAATCAAAACTTTTGTATTATTGTCTGGGGACCTGTTTTAATCCATACAATGATCTCTTTAATAGACATACAATATTTTTAGGATTACCTTTCTCAAAACCAACAGGTTGTCTCATGTAAATGGTTCATCATGTTCACCATATAAGAAAGTAGTTTTAATATCAAGCTGATCAAGTTCTCATTTAAATTGAGCAAAAAGAGCAAGTAAGCATCTAATAGTAGTGTATTTAACTACAGGAGAAAATATTTCAGTGTAATCAATGCCATCCTTTTGAGTAAAGCCTTTAGCTACTAATCTAGCTTTATACACATTCTCCATGTTTAATTTTATAGATCCATTTACAATCTATAATTTTCTGCCCTTTAGGCCTTTGACCAGTTTTCCAAATTTTTTGTAAACAAAGAACCCATTTCTTCTTCCATAGTTGCTTTCCCGTTTCCACTTTCTTTACAATTTATGGTATCATCATAAGAGTTTGGTTCATTTTCAAATTGTTCTTGAAAGGTAAACAAAGAGACAAAATTCTCACTGTCAAATCTGGTGGACAACCTTTTCTATCTTCTCTTTATATCCCTTGTGAGTTGGTACTCATCAAGTGGTAGAGGTAAAATAACCAGTTTGGTCAATAGGATCAGTTTGATCAGATTCATTTTTAGGCACAGTAACAACATCAGGTTCTAAATTTTCAATAACAGGTTCAGAAATGTTCAAATCACTACTTGATGACTCCACCTCAATTTGAACATCCTTTTCAATTAAAGCATTATCTTTTCCCTCAATGCAAAGCATTAAAGATTCATTGAAAATAACTTCTTTTCTGATTATAACTTTATAACCTTTTTCAGATTTAACTCACAGCCTATAACCTTTCACATGTTCATCATAACCCAAGAAAACACATTTAAGAAATTTAAGTTCAAGCTTACCAATATTTTGATGGGCATAAGCAGCATGGCCAAAAACTTTCAAAAAATAGTAATTCACAGAATCATTAGACCAAACAACTTCAGGAACAACAACATCAAGAGCACTTGTAGGGCTTCTATTAATCAAATAAGCAACAGTCTTAACTGCTTCACCCCAAAACATTTTAGGCAAACCAGGACTCAAAAGTATACATCCGACTTTATTAAGTAAGGTTCTGTTCATTCTTTCAATCATGACATTTTGTTGTGGAGTATTGTAATAGTTCTATGTCTCACTATGCCATGGTCTTTACAAAAATTATTGAATTCACAATTACTGATTTCCAAACCATTATCAGTACTCAAGATTTTTATTTTCAAATCAGTTTGATTTTCAACTTCTGCTTTCCATTCCATAAAACAGAAAATGTCTCATCCTTAGATTTCAGCAAATACGTCCAAATTTTTCTTGAGAAATCATCAATTATGAGCAAGTAATTTCTGAAATTTCTGAAACGAAATAAAGTTGACACGGAAGCAGGACCCCACAAGTCAGGAATGCAAGTACTTAAGTTTTTTTGTTTGGATTTATATGTTCCAGTATGAAAAGGAAGTCTAAGATGTTTACCTATTATACATTGTTCACAAGAACCAAAATCACCTACGTTTAATTATCCAAAAACACCTTTTGTTTTTAGAAAATTTAAACCATATTTACCAATGTGACTAATTCTCTCATGCCATAATTTTGCCAAAGTAAAGTTTTCAGATATGGCAAAAGCAGTCAAACCCAATAAAGGTATAGCTTTCAAGTAATACAAACCAAGTCTCTTAGGAGAAGATATGACCAAGTCACTTCCCTTAAGAATTTTAATATATCATTTCCCCATATTAATGTTAAACTCCATATCATCAAACATAACTACGGACACCATGTTCCTTTTTAAATCTGGGACAAATCTAGTTTCCTTTAGAACCAAAGTATTTCCATTTTCTAAAAGGAATTTAACAGTTCCAATTCCACTTATTTTGCAGACATAATTATTTCCCATTATAACTTGCCCTCCTTTGGTTTTAACAAAATCAATCAAACTGTTCTTGTTTGGGCATATATGAAAAGAACAGTCTGGGTCAAATATCCATTCATCAATCAGTTTCTTTCCAATGCTTGCAAGAACTAGACCATTCTCAGTTTTGGCTTTATTAAGAGCAACGACAGTATTTCCTTCTTCAAAAACTTTCTCACTTGATTCATTTTTCTTTTTAAAACAGTCTTCAGCAAAATGATCAATTTTACCACAATAGTAACATTTCTTACCCTTGGCATTGTTTTTGGTCTTATTCCTTTCAATCCTCTTTTTGTTGTCTTTTGAAAATTTTGGATGATAATCAGATTTACTAAAACTTTTTTCCTTTTGTTAACAAGTTTATCCCAGCGTGACTAGTACTTGACTCAGCCTTAATCTCTTGTGCCTTATTTTTCAAAGCATTGATTTATTGTATTAGTACTTAGATCATCTCTACCATATTATAAGGCAACCTTAATTTCCTTATACCTGTCACTTATGTAGTTTAGCAAAACTACAGTCAATTGATCTTTTGAAAGTTTTTCATCACAATTGGTCAAGTATTGGGTAAGTTTAGTAAATCTGTTCAAGTTTTCATCCAAATCAGCTGAAGGATCCATTTTGAAATAAAAGAATTGTTTTAAAAGAAAACATTTGTTTGGAGTAGACTTGGTCACATATTTTGCATGAAGTTTGGTCCATAATTCTGTAGCAGTTT